ACATTATCACCAATATCAACATTATCACCAATATCACCAATATCACCGGTATCACCAATATCACCAGTATCAACAATATCAACATTATCACCAATATCACCATTATTAACAATATCACCATTATCACCATTATCAACAATATCACCAGTATCACCATTATCACCAGTGTCACCAATATCACCAATATCACCAATATCACCAGTATCACCAGTATCACCAGCATCAACAATATCACCAGCATCAACAATATCACCAGCATCAACAATATCACCAGTATCAACAATATCACCAGTATCACCAATATCAACATTATCAACAATATCACCAATATCAACAATATCACCAGTATCACCAATATCAACATTATCACCATTATCACCAGCATCAACAATATCACCAGTATCATTATCAAAATGATCACAATCAGTTCTGGACCTTTGTTCAAAACGCAGTGGATCCTTTTTCAGATGCATCAAATAAAGTAGTTCTTGTTGCACTGAGGAAGTATTTACGCAGTGAACATGCATATTGCAGTATATTCACGAGTAGCTAATCTTAAATCCATTTTGATTTATGGAGCAGTGGAGAAATCCCTTTTAATGTATCGTCTGTTCTTCATGGAGCATTGAATCAGCTGTAATAATGAAACATCATTTAGTTATGCAGCCAGATTAATGTTCACACATCAGCTGCAAATTCACTCCCACAAGCATCTCCTCATATTCAGGCTGAACTCTGCAACATCCGAGGGACTGCACACAAGAAGCTGTGGTCGTGCACAGAGCGCTCTTTAGAGAAGACATTTCAGCAAGTTTAAAATGAAAAAACAAAAGTATTTGGCCAGTATAAACCTGAATAAACGTTGAATTATGATTCGAAGTCTGTGCAACATTAAATCATTTTGTTATTTTCAGGGCTGCAGCTTGAGCTTTGTCATATCGAGTGTGTGTAAAATACAAAAACACAGCTGCTTCATCTGGACACTGTAATAATAATGTAACATTTTCATGATCCGCTCATGAATAAATCCTACAGAGCAGTGTGTATGCAAATGTACCAAACTTCTCTAAAAGCATCACGTACATCAAGCGTCACTGATGTGTTGCGAGTAGATCTCTGAGCTCACGACTCTCTGAAGGATCGACAAGTTCTCTCGAGTTTTTGAAGTAGCGAGAAAAAAAATTTAAAAACGAATGCAGACTGTAAAAAAAACGCAGAGAGAGACAGATGTTCAGAGAGACAGATGTTCAGTGATGCTCGGTGAGAACATGGATGTGAAGCAGCTGAAGACAGTTTATGAAATATTAAATCACAAGTTGATTCCACTGACTCAGTTTATGCCGACTGAGCACTTCTACGCATTAAAACAATAAGCATGGGCTGAGTCAGCAGGTCTGCATTAGTTGTGCTAAAAAAAGACAAAAGCAAATATTAATTTGGGTTTAAGTGAACTACACCAAATCAAAGTTTAATAGTATTTATGATTCAAGTTTGACTATTTAGACAGAAGTCTTTGATTTCATTCAAAGTCAAAGTTTGCTTTATTGTCAATTCCACAATGTACTGGACATACAGGGGAGTTGAAAAGACGTTTCTCTCTAGTCCAACATATAAACATATAAACATATAAAGTCAATACAGTGCAATAGATTAAAAAAACATTTAGACAATATATATATATATATATAATAAGAGAAAAAGAACAAAAAAAAACTATCAATCTGTATTTAGCAGCAGTTGGACATGGGGAGTCTTAAAGAGAGGAGGGAGAGAGTTCAGCGAGTTCAGCTTCCTAACAGCCTGGTGGACGAAGCTGTTTGAGAGTCTGGTGGTGCGAGCACGGAGGCTCCGGTATCTTCTCCCAGAGGGCAGGAGGCTGAAGAGACTGTGTGAGGGGTGGCTGGAGTCGCGCACAATCATGGTCACTTTGCGGGTGAGGCGGGTGTCATACATGTCCTGCAGGGAGGGGAGTGAGGCACCAATGATGGTCAGTGGTGGGTGTTGAGTGTGGCCTCTCCGGAAGTCAACAATAATCTCCTTGGTCTTGCTGTTATTCAGAAGGAGGTTGTTGTCTCTGCACCATGTGGTCAGAAGGCTGACCTCCTTCCTATAGTGGGTCTCATCGTCGTTGGTGATGAGACCTACCAGAGTTGTGTCGTCTGCAAACTTGACCATGTGATTGGTGCTGTAGGTTGTGGTGCAGTCGTGTGTCAGCAAGGTGAAGAGCAGTGGACTGAGCACACAGCCTTGAGGGGCCCCTGTGCTCAGTGTGATGCTGCTCGAGGTGTTGTTGCCGACACGTACCGCTTGTGGCCTCTCACTGAGGAAGTCCAGCAGCCAGTTACACAGCGAGGTGTTGAGCCCCAGCTGGTCAACACATTGGATTTTGACACCAACCATCACAGTTGAACCACACTTACACACTAATGGCGATAAAGCAACGGGATATTTTCTCTGAGGTCAATCTTCGCTCTGCGAATAAAAGCATCAACCAATCACGTGCAAAACGAACATATTCAAAACGTACACTATAAAGTACAACAACACTTTATTACTCCTTTCCACCTTGACAAAGGCAGCTCAGACCACATCCTCTCCTTCTCTTACCTTTCACAATAAAAGCCCAAGATGTATACACTGTGATTGTTTGAATGAGGGAGCTCACATTCACTCATTTCTATAAAAGGAAACCCAATAAAATATCTCATATTATGTTAGGCAGTTTACCTCTGACAGACTGACAGACGCTGCTCTGGGTCAACAGGACCTGGTAGTTGGTCCTCTACATGGAGGACTCCATTCAAACCTTTTATTGTAAACATGTTGGAACCGTCACTAATTTCCATCATCGCTGCTGGTTTGAATAGTTTTGATGAAAGACTTTCACAGCCGATTATTTTGCATTTTTGTGTAAGTGTGTAAAGCTGAACAGTGAATATCAGTGTGTAAGCGTTTGCCTTTTAAAATGCTGACGTACATGTTCTGCATCCCTGATTCACTCCCAACTGTTTCTCTGTGGGAATCTCTCGACCTGAACGGATTCCACTGCCACACTAACTGAATAAACGTGCAGGTTATCAGCAGTTTCAGTCCACACATCCAGAATCCAGTCTTCCAGCAGCTCTCTCTGCAGCCGCTCAGACATCACCACATGCTCCTCAGTAATGTCATTATCGACGGTCATCAACATGCCAGCGGCGCGAGACACGCACAGCCTCTGCCTTGTTGCCGTCATGTGTTGGTCTTTGTATTCCACGCTGCATGAATGCTCATGCTGACTGGACGCTACAGGGAGCCACGTGGTACTACAGTAATGTGTCACTGTCCTCCCTGCTGGGCCTTCGTCACAGCAGCGTTTGGTGCAGAAAGCAATGTTTTTCTTTTTTATTCCAACTTGTCGACCAACGTCTCCCTGACCTCCTCGCAAAGTGTCCTTGAGCAACAAGAGTCGACGCGTTTTCTTCTCAAACTGTGTGCTTCATCGCTTTGTGTCTAGATGCAGCTCAGCATTATGTTTCAGGATTTCTCCGAGTAGCTCGGAACACAACTTCCTTGTTCCCCTCGTTTGCACCGCAAACAGTGAAAACGGCAAAATATTAGTGCAGAGGACAAAGGGTACATTTTACACTTTGATTTTCAGACGCAGTCATCCGTGTCTGAGTTTACGTTCGAAGACACGCAGCGGAGAGAGGCCGAGGCTGCGGCTACATTAGCACACGGCACAGCCGCAATGCATCCTGGTACATGTTGGCGCTGCGTGCGCAGCTCGACGAGCAGCAGGTTTCTGGGTCAACATATAAAGCTTCAACTGACTACAACTACCATCAACACCGATTGGACATTAAAGATGGCAAAGAGCCCCTTTAATGACGGTGACGTCTACGCTGGAAGTGATGAGGCTGTGGTGGCGACTACCTGCCTTCCTTTCCTCCTCTCTGTCCATCTTCCCTCCAGCAAACTGTTTTTCGGCCTTTCTCCATCTAGTTTCTCTCTTCTCTGCACTCTCCACCCGTCTCCTTCGCTCTGCCATCTCACATTCTCTCTCCTCTTATGTCGTTAGTTTCTCTCTTTTCCTGCTTCATCCATCGCTTTCTGTATCCCACTTAATCCCTTTCTGCCTCTTTTCCATCTCTTTCCCTCCCTATCTTGCCTAATCTCTCCCTCTACATCTCCCTCTTTCCATCTCTGCTCTCGGTATCATCATCTCTCTTTCTTCCTCTCGTTTGCTTCATATTTTAATCGCTCTGCACGCAGCCCATGACATTTTCAGACGGCCGATCCTCCAGAGAGAAGGCGACGTGTTGAGTAACGCAGAGCTTCAGACGCACGGAGCCGAGCTTCCTTCTCCATCTCCGGGAGGAAAAAGGCAATTTGTCCTTTACAGGCGCTTCAATTATTCAAGAAGCCTTAAAACAAAGAAAACAGGCTTTGTTAACGTATTCACTGAAAGAGAAGAACGGAGGAGGAAAAGAAAGACCGAGTGGACATATTATCAATCCTGAAATCCACCCTACTCATCGATTATTAACAAAAACAAATCCTGCCAAAATATTTCAGAATGTTCTTTATTTCAGCATCATTGGGAGAAGATTAATATCACAAGGGGATGAAATTAAATATTGTTCACTAAATCCATTCAGAACGACATTTAAGACAAAAACAAATCAAATCACATCTTCACCAGCAGGCAAATCAACTCATATCATTAAATATCAATAAAAATGATAGATAATGTAAATGTTATTTTACTCAACACGGTTACGATAACCATGCCTACTTAAGTAACTACTGATTATTCACCAGGTTGTTCTTGTTGCTCATTCCTATATTCATTTTGTTTTAAAAGGTATTTAAGTGCCGCTGTTAGTATGATATTTCTTTATTTTTTATTGATTGATTTATATGCCTTCAG